CAAAAAGAAGCTTGTAAATGCCAGTAGAAACCTCGTATATTCGTAGATATCGTCGCAGTTCTTCACCAAACGGTCTTTTGTAACTCTTGCGACTATCAACTTGTTTGTGCTTCTGCCGGAAAAGCCAAAAATTAGTTTATCCGGGCCAGTCAGGTGATCTCGGGCTTCTTCAAGCTTTCTCTGCTTGCGGTTTCATTGAAGAGGAAGAACAATAACTCGGGGATGGCTGAAGAATAGGATGAATGGGGGGAGTGGCTAGTGTGCAGCTACTTTCCATGGTTTCTAGTCCCAGGGGGCGCTGGGTTTCGTATTTGAAGCCTTGATTTGAAGAATTGCCAGACTTACAAAGGGAGGGACCTACAGATATTAATTAATTGGGTATTATATTGAGATGTATATTTACAGTTATTCGCTTCTTATCGTACAGGTCAACGGTCTGACCTTTAAATGTAGTCGTCAGCACCAAGACAGCACTATCTTTGGCAGGTCAGGTAGAGTAAAGATATCCAGGGACCGAACGCCGTCTACATGATAGTCTTGCTTTTCCACTCGAGGCGTAGTCGACTGCCACAAGGGTTCATTATTCGTTCCGGGGGGAGATGTAGGGACTTCAACTGCGTTGTTCACGTTTTGTCCGCCATCGGTTGAGTGCATCCTCCCATCCCTCGAACGAGTTCCCGCAGCGCTCTCCCACGATATCCCAAGTGCGAGACCTCACTATCCTCTCCACGCCACGTTCGTTCCGGAGCAGCATGGCAAGTGATTCTGTCCTGGGTTCTTTCGGGAAGAACCTGGCAGAGTAAGGGTCTAGTCGTTCATCTACAACCCTCTCTCGATCCCTCGATGACTCCTCTTGTAGTAGTAAATCTGGATCGTCAGGGTCAGGACTCGTAGCAACGCCGGCACAATATGTCAGAACATCCGATCTAGCTTGCCAGGAAGCAAATAAGACCTCGTCTTTGAAGGCCTGGCAACTCTCCGTGTCCACCTGGCCCTTGTGTGGAATCCCCGTCGGTCTAGCAGTGGTTGACGACGGGTCGAACCCGGATCGAGCCGGGGTGACCAGTGCATTCAAGTTCTGAGAGATAGAATCGTCTATTGTTGACCGTGAGATGCGAAGGAAGTCTATCCGTTGGAGCCAAAAGGGTAGTTAGTTAAACGTCCTTTCATGGTCCGAAATAACCCCAATGTGTCCTGAGTTCTGGGGAAATAATCGTGCTTAGCACTGGCCTGCAGCTACCCACCTCTTAATGCCCGTTCATTGAAGCAAAACTGCGGCGAGAGCATCGGTTGTGTAGACATCTTTGGCATCTTGCTACCGCCAGAGGCAACCGGCGTTGCGGTTGACGGTTGTCGAGCCCAAAACAAATCCAGCCTGAAGATCAGTTGCGCGGCCCCAAAACAGTGCCACCGAGCTATAAATGAATAGGTAGCAGATATATACCACGAGATAAGTTCTGTAAGTGTTATCAAATTCTTCAGCTTCCAAAGTTGCAGCTGGTTTATGCAGAATGAAAAAAAGATGTCACATGACCTAGAGCTCTTTTTTTCTACTTTCGTCCTGTTTTTCTTCCTTTTGGGGAAAAAAGCGCTGCAAGAAAGGCCAGTTATGTCCCTCAGATATCACTGCTGTAGTCCTCTATCTGTTTTTGATATTTTCCTACCAGCAACGAAGCCCTGATTGTCCATGGGTTTAGTCACTTGTACTCTTTAGATGGACGCCAAGGTGGCAGGGAATTGAAGCTCGCTGGTTGGTGATATCGACGCGAAGGAAACACGAAGCTAGCCTCTCCCCGGGGGAACAGCTCTCAAAGGGCCGGCCTTGCGACGTTCCTCTTTCTTTGTATCTATTTTCCCCCCTGTGGTATTGAAGAGGGAGACGACTCTGGGTTATTTGATTTATCAATATTTATTTCAATTTTCTTGGTCTATTGTGCTGTGCTGTAACATCATCTACCGCGTCGACCTTTTGTCACTTTTCATCCCAGTACGCCGGTTGGGGCGCCAATTAGCTACATCAAAGCTATAGCTCCAGGTCACTTCTTTCTGTCTATCGGCCCTTTGGATACTAACGAACATTGACTCGACCCAGTCCTTCGAGTCAACTAGTTGAAAAGACTCTTCACTCTCCCTTATTACTTTCGGTTCATCTTCTTCCGTCAATTCTTCATCCTCACCATGCCTGAGCTAGCAGAGGTTGCACGGATTGTGAATTACATTCAGAAGCACCTGGTAGGCCACACAATTGCAAAAGTGGTAGCCAACCATGACGACCTTCTTTTCGGTAAAGTTGGCACCAGCGCGGATGAGTTCAAGAAACACATGCATGGCAAGAAAGTGATAGACGCAGGCCAGCAGGGGAAATACTTCTGGATGATCATGTCCTCTCCTCCACATCCCGTCATGCATTTTGGAATGACCGGATGGTTGAAGATTAGGGCTGAGAATACCTATTATCGAAGTAACGGGAAAGACGAGAAGCATGAAGCGGAAGTCTGGCCTCCGAGGTTTTGGAAGTTTATGCTTGAGACGGACCACGAACCCAAGACTGAGGCTGCGTTTGTGGATGCGAGGAGGTTGGGTCGGGTGAGGCTGGTGGATTGTCCCGGGGAGGATATCAGGAGCTATACGCCGCTCAAGGAGAATGGGCCAGATCCAGTCATTGACAAGTCAATTGTGACGGAGCAGTGGTTGAAGGCTCTTGTGCGGAGGAAGAAGGTTCCTATCAAAGCCTTGCTACTGGATCAGGCCAATATCAGTGGACTAGGGAACTGGATGGGGTAGGTTATACTTCCCTCCCAAGCAGTTACATGTATGGATAAGCTAACTGTCAACTCCAGAGATGAGATTCTCTACCATTCTCGCATTCACCCGGAGCAGTATAGCGACACACTCCGGGATAATCAAATCGCGGAGCTGCACTCTGCCATAAATTACGTGTGCTCGGTATCCGTTGATCTGAAAGGAGAATCTTCAGACTTCCCCACAGACTGGCTATTTCATCATCGATGGAATAAAGGGAAGAAAGGCGCTGCCGGGAAACTGCCCAGTGGAGAGGCGATTGTCTTCGTTACTGTTGGCGGACGAACAAGCGCTGTTGTTCCTTCTGTGCAGAAGAAGAACGGCGAGGTTGCCGATGATGGAGACGAGGAAGCAGATACCAAGCCCAAGAAGGCCGCCGTTAAAGCAAAGAGTACACCGAAGACTGCATCTCAGCCGAAATTAAAGGCAGAGGAGAATGGTGCGGATGGGCCAGGCCCGGCGACCCCGAACCGGAAACGAAAGCAGCCAGCTTCAAAGGCTATTAAGGAGGAGGACAGTGTAACAACTACACCGGTCTCGAAGAAGTCGAAGGCTACGAGTGCGAAAGTTGCTCCGGAAGAACCACAGGTACCATTGAGAAGGGGGCGGTCCGCGGCGAAGAAGTGAGACATCTGTTCGATATTTGTTCATTACTTTCTGTTACTTTTCTTTGGCGAGCTTGGAGTTCTGGGCGGTAGCATAGGCCCTGAACCGTCGACCGGCCCTGGTCCTGACAGGAAAAAGGCCTCATGATACCAAATGTTTTCAATTTTGTAAAATCAGTAGCCTTATGCTAGAATCATCGCATCGCTAAATAACTAAATGAAATATAGCAATCCGTATATCCAAGCGAGTAATTTGTATGCTCTAGTGCGTTTATGTCATTATATCATCATGCCATGAAGCTTCCTGTAAAAGACGCCATAATTCCCATCACCATTCTCGCCTTCGCCTAGATCATCCATGACGGCAAATATGATGCTCTCCCACCATCCACCGCTAAATTCACGTTCACGGAAGACTTCTGCAAAACAGTCTGCAACTTCTTCGCGGGGGTTTAGGAATGCACCGCAGCCTAGCGCGCCTAGCACCAGTCTTCGATGACCGTTGAATGCAGCAGTTCGCAGAACCATCCGGATCTTGTCCTTGGTCAGATCACGATCGTTGCGATCCTGAAATATCTCCTTCATTCGTGTGTCGGATGAGTTTGGAACAGATACGGTCTTTATGGAGAGCTTGGGTTCGCACAAAGCCGCAATGCTAACTGTGCTTATGACGGGTAACTTCTCAGGCTTGGTAAGTGATAAAAGGCCATGTCCTTCGTCTATACTCTTGCGTATTACGAGGACGGTAGGAGAGTATATAGCCTGTAAGTCGTTGAGCGGGTAATATCTCAATTTGAGCGTGAAGCTGAGACTGGTTCGATAGCAAAGCGTTTCTTCCTGAGCAAGGGCTCCGTTCTTCCATCCCCCGCCTGCCGTGTACGCGTTGGCCATGTTCAAAACACATACAGGTTTCTTGTCGCGAACAGTGACATACTGTGCACAGTTAGCCAGCCCAATGGCCGTGTCTAGAGTGTCTGCATTGAGTACGCGGACAGCAGTCTTGCTGAAACTCGGGCAGTACTTCGGATGTAACTCTGACACGTTACGGGGAGAATATAAATATCCCTTTGGCGGTGCCCACGGAGTCGTCTCTAGAATACCGGGCAAGAAAGTGCTTGTTTCTCCCGCAATGCAACGGAGGATCCTTCGACGCTGCATGGCCTCTGAGACCGGTGTTCGTGTTCGTGTTGGTGTTGGTGCGGTTGATGGCGAGGGCGGCCAGTCGGAAGATGTAAGGCTGCTTTGACTGTCTAACTTGCTTTCATGTTCCATTTCATAGTCCATGCCGGTATCCTCGCCATCTTCATGGGTATTATTCCTGGTATCTTCAGGGTCCTGTCTGATAAGCTGAGGGGAACTGGATGACTCTTTACCCGCGCGAGAAGAGCCAAAGTTCAGCATCGTCTGGACCATCTTCGGCTTGAGCGCGGTAGCCATGTCCAGCACTCCTTATTCGCTGTCTTATGTAGGTGTAGATGAAGATGTTGTTGCTATGTCAAAGTATCGTCTTCACTCTGGTAGGCTGAAGTTATCTCTATGAGCCAGGTTGAGGTAGTCAAAAGTCAGTCAGAGCAGGCTGCTAACATCAAGAAAGGCCGAATGGTGTAGTTGGTTATCACGTGTCGTTAACATTCATTTGTACCGACAAGGTCCTGAGATCGAGCCTCAGTTTGGTCACTTCTTTCTTTTTTTTTTCTTTTTTCTTCTTCTTCTATTTTTGCTTCTTCCTTTCTCGGAGATGATTAACAGGTGTTCTTCTCTTGTTGGCTACAGATTCTGACCTGACGTCGATCGACTTCAGCAAGCTTTTTCCTGGATCTGTCGGTATACAAAGTAGCTCAGGTACCTTTACCCTTGACCAACAACCTGATTCAAAGCTAGCCGTGGAAGATTTGGCTGACAGGGAAGCACTTCGTCCAATCTCCAGAGTAATAGACGATCCTGGTCTCTGCGGGCGCCAACGTCAGGCAAAGTGGCTTGCTATCCACGCGCATCCTGGGCCAAGCCTCTTAGTGCAGCCTGTATTGAAATATGGAGAAAGTGACAGCTGCAGGCTCTTTTTCCCTTGTTCAAGTCATTCAAAATAGAGAGTCAGCGGCTAGACTACAGGGAATACTACTCCCTACCGGAGGGTTAATAGGAAGGTATTGCTTGCGGAGTATAACAGCCGAGCTGGATAGTTGAGGTGAGGCCACAAGAGGTTTTATATATACCTGCGATGGTCGTCAACTTCCATCCCTGGAGGCTCTGCGGGACTCTCGCAGGTCGCACATCGAGGGCGCACTTACCCGCTAGTTAATGAGACCATCTCTCATCCTTGCATCCTTCTCTAAGGGTTCACGGGGGCTGACAGCGACACTGCCCAGCTAAACGGGTGTTCCTTGCCTTCTGAGATATAAAAACCCCAAGTCCCCTCTATTAACTACCTAGACAGCACTATCAACTTCACCTCTCTACTTCGGCGGGCAGCACTCTTCCAGAATGGCGAATCTTGATCGGATCCGGCTCCTTGTGCGGGTTAGCCGCCCTATCGCCTGGGTACTGCCTCCCTCTACATTCTTCCTAGGCATCCTACAATCCGGCAGCTATCCACAACTTCTCCCTGCAGCTCTACTTGCTTTCGCGTTCTCAATTCCGCTGTGTTTGAGTAAGCTCATGACCTACTCCTAAATTTTGTGTCTTTTTATATTAACTGGAAGAAAAAAAGTCCTCTTCGGCGTCAATGACGTCTACGACCACGATTCAGATATGATAAACCCGCGCAAAGGGGAAGCATGGGATGGCGCTCGTCTGCCAAAAACAGACCAGCACCTCACATTGTTTGCTGCCAATGTCTCAACCGTTCTCATTTTTCTTTTCGCGTTACCCGTCTCTATTCAGTCCCCTCAGGTCATGGGATATGTAATATTAAGCATCTTTATTGCCTGGACTTACTCGGCACCACCACTTCGATTCAAAGAACGACCGTTTATGGATTCACTTTCTAACGGTATTTGTTGTTGGTCGGTATGGGCAGCCGGGTATGCTGCCAGTGGTGATAAAGATCTAGCACATCATGGCAGCGACGTTATACGCGATGGCCTGTTTATCGTCTCTCTTGGTTCTGCATTCCATAGTCTGGCGGCTACTTTGGATGCAGAGGCGGATGCCGCCGTGAAACAGCGGACAATAGCTACGGTATCTGGAGTAAGACTTACCGCGTTATTCTCTATGCTCTGCTTGTAGGTCTCTCACCGTCCCTCTTTATTTTTGCATCTAAATACTCATTTCTATTTTAGTATATTCGGTGCAATGTTAGTAGAACCGTGGACCGACATTGCCATATGTAGTGTTGCTTCTGCCACTGTCCCACTTGGTGTCCTAGTTCTTCATTTAGTCGCCCCCTCATTTAAGTCTGATATTGCTCGATACTTCGGCATATCAGTGGTTTTCGGCGTACCTGTCTGGTGTTTGAAATCGATGTACTACGTCAAAAGAGGCTGGGATGCCAACAGAACCTTTTAAGGGCGTAGGTGCGACGGATTTGGCATATCAGTCGTCACCTAGGATGTCATGCTAGACTGGACCCATGGGGTTTTGGAAGTACTAAGCATCCGCTTTTGCCCTCTACGACCTAACTGCAAGAGTATGTATACCCTTGCAGCCTTTTCATCGCTCCTTTATTCCAGCGCTGAGAGAAGCGTGCCTGTCTCTGAGTGCTTGAAGGATTGTTACTGTGATTATTATACCCTGTTATAGATACGTACCTAGAAGAAACCACCTCAAAGTCAATAAGCCACGCTGCTCCCATTACGCTAGACTTTTCAGTAATATGCACAACATCAAGTTATAAGCAGTACAAGCTGCTACAGCTTCTCGCCCCTTTACTTCTTATCTATATAATATTTACTCCGCGGCTCCAGCGCGCTTAGCGGATATTTGTAATTAGTATCGCGCTTACTAGCCACGGCCTGTGATTGGTCAGAACTTACTAAGCCTATTTTCTCCGATAACGCCATCAGATAAGAAACCCTGCATATGCCCTGATCGAACCATCCCACCTCCATAACCACTTCTTCCACATTTCACCTCGATATCAACTTCTTTCTTTTCATATAACCTACGCATATCATACATCTACCGTCGGAATATTAATTTTTAGGAGACTTGATTACAAAAATAGCAGCTGGGTGGCGGTTACTCGGCTCTGTCAATGGGTCAACATGAGTGCGATTCTTTCTGCTGATGATTTGAATGACTTCATTTCACCGGGTGTTGCATGTATAAAACCAGTTGAAACGCTGCCGAAGAAACAGGAAGAGGTAAGTTGCTGAATTCCTATCCCTTATTTTACCCGACTAACTAATACTCCCAACATAGAATCCGTATGAAGTGACGACAGAAGATAAACTTGAAGAACAAAATCCCCCACCAGCCCAGATTTCCCTCACGGACTGTTTGGCGTGCTCAGGATGCGTCACATCTGCCGAGGCGGTATTGGTTTCACTACAGTCGCATGCTGAGGTGTTGAATACGCTTGACGCCAACCCCGAGATTCGGCTTGGTGGCGAGCAAACTGGAGATGGAAAGATATTTGTCGCCAGTGTTAGCCCGCAGGTTCGGGCTAGCTTGGCTGCGACGTATGGCATATCAGAAAGGGCGGCTGGGTATATGATTGAGCAGTTTCTCAGTGGGCCAAACGGGTTGAGGGCTGGTGGGCAATTTGGAAGCGGGTTTACGTGGGTTGTCGACACGAATATCATGCGCCAGGTGGTTTTGGAACTTAGCACGGCCGAGGTTACGGAATCACTTTCTGCCTCATCATCAACTCCTCAAGATAGTGCCAGCAAATTTGCCATCCCTAACCGACCTATTCTTTCGTCTTCTTGCCCAGGATGGATTTGCTACGCCGAGAAAACCCATCCGCACGTCCTACCTCACCTATCGCGGCTGAAATCCCCACAAGCATTGACGGGAACGTTTCTTAAAACAATCATAAGCAAGAAACTCAATGTAAAGCCTTCGAAGATATGGCATCTTGCGATAATGCCTTGCTTTGATAAGAAGCTTGAAGCTAGTCGACAGGAACTGACGGACGTTTCGTGGAAAGGGGAGTCAAGTACAGAAGAGCCCGTCTCCCCCGTCAGGGATGTTGACTGTGTCATAACCTCCAAAGAACTACTTATGCTCGCATCTTCCCGAAACATCTCCCTTCCATCTCTTCCACTCGAGCCACTGCCAACCCACTATTCGACCCCTTTCCCCGACCAAAGAGTTGCCCAATTCCTTTCCGCCAACAGCCTCCACTCGTCACAACCGTCTGCTGCCGGACCATCAGGTGGCTATCTCCATCACCTCCTAACAACCTATCAATCCCGCCACCCAGGCAGCCTCATCCAAACTCAACGAGGCCGTAACGCAGACGTGATCGAATATACCCTCGTATCAGCATCAGGTGACCCAATCATCAAAGCAGCACGATACTATGGGTTCAGGAATATTCAGAATCTAGTGCGGAAGTTAAAGCCTGCTCGAGCATCCAGGCTCCCTGGCTCAAGAGTCGTGAATGCAAACACCAACGGAACAAGAGTACGGCCATCTCCATTAGGAAATGGGAGGGCGGGGGGCGGGAATCCGAGAAATGCCCACCCTGGAGCTCCTGCACCCCCGTCGGAGTTCGCGTACGTTGAAGTCATGGCTTGTCCTGGCGGATGTACGAATGGCGGAGGTCAGATCCGAGTCGAAGATGCTCGAGAGGCCAATTCGTCGTTACCAGGGGTAGACATTGTATCGCAGGGCCAAAAGTCGACGCCACAGGATCAGCGAGCTTGGCTTGCTCGTGTCGACGAAGCGTATTATTCGGACTCCTCGGACGATGGTGTTGCACTGGAGGGACAGGGTGATGACGCTCAGTCAGGTGTTCGGGGAATTGTTCCGTCGTCAGACGAGATACATTCGATGCTAAACCATTGGTCCGAGATGACGGGTGTGCCTCTTGAGGATCTCGTTTTTACTACCTACCGCAAAGTGGAGAGCGATGTAGGGAAGAATAAAGGGTCTGCTGGAGGCATGGATACCGCTCGTGTTGCAGAGCTGGCCGGGAAGGCTGGCGGTGGGTGGTAGACAGACACCACCCAGAGGCTGTTTTTATGTACTATCATCTGGCATCATGATGTGTCATTCAAGCGTGGCTTGTGATACCATGTTCATAGCATCTCTGTGTTTACACTTGGGCTTGGATTAGAATAAACAGGACAACGAGCGGATGCGTTGGATACCCAATCATTTCTAGAAGAATGGAAGTTTTGTTTTTGTTTACAGCTCTATTATTGGTGAATACACAAATCTTGAAAGGAAGGTAGCTCCACTGCAAGGCCAGAACGCATAGCAAACAGTGGTATAAGAATAGGAGAAGCATGGGACTGTACATTAAAAGAGCGACAAGACGTGTTTCTGAGGGTTCTCTTTATCTTTTTGGAATAGTTGCACCGCTGGGATGGTTTCGGGTACTGTGCTGGAAATCAAGGTGACCGTGGGCTACTACCCCATGACCGACAGGAGTCGTCTATTAGGCGTGCAGAAGGGTAATAAGGCAACACGAAATCCGAGGGAGTGTATGCATCGATAGACCTAGCCATGATCATAGGAGAAGAACAGTTGCTCGAGTTTAACGATGAGGGCCTAGATACGTGCATAGG